TTTTTCCATTTCTCTCCTTCGTCTGAGCTCCTAAGTCCTTTAACATTTGGTTGCTTACTCAGTAACGAAGCAGAGATCTACACTTAAAAACTACCTCCTACCTGACAAATACAATAGATACTTAGTGACTTAACTTATTTTATTTCTCTAAAGTATTTGATACTTTCAGGTAAACACTGTTCATCACCCCTGGCCTGGGCTTCTGTAATAGAGCCCTACCTTTCATTGTTTCTGTGTGCAATGTCTTTTCAGCAGCTCTGTCGCAAACATCTTCACTTTCATAGTAAGAGTCCCTCAGAGCACGGTCTTTGATCCCTTAGACTTCTTATTTTACAGAACTTTCATGGATTTAATTAACTCTGTGGATAAGTCTCTTTTATCTTATCAATTAGCTTAGTCTTATATATCAGCATTCTTTCCTATGAGACATTTTAAACAAGATATCTTCCCAGATGTCCAGCATACTGAGATGTAGGTGAATTGTTACATGGATTAAATGGGATATAATAGATATGAAACCATTAATTGATAAGTTGTAACTGATAAGTTATCATATTTACTCCATAATCCTCTTTGATAGTAGACATTAGCACTACCCATCTAGGTATCCAATGCCAGGAACCTCAGGGTTATTTTAAACTTTCCTTCAGACTTTGGAACAGATGACAAATCCTGCTGTCCCTTCATGCATCATCTATATGTATCTCTTCCTTGATTTGAGCTGTGGTCCTCTCTCCCCTGCTATCTTAGAGCCATCTCACCTTATTTTTCTCCTTCCCGAACTACCCCGTAGCATCTCTTCTTATACTGCTACCAATGTTGGCTTTTCATGTTGCCCCCTTCCTCTGTGTTATGGTGACTTCCTGTTATCCTGCACATTCAAATTAGAGGTTCTCGTGCATCATTGTCACGTACTAAATAAATGCCAGCTGTGTGCTGCGTGCACGTCAAAGTGCCCAAATTATTTTCCTCTCTCAATTTATCTAGTCTATTTGACATCTCGTGTGTGAGTGCCCAATGCCACCTCCATATGTTCATTGTGTTCCTGCCTGAATCTTCTCTGAAGCAATACCTGGGATGCTCTTTTGTTTTTTCTTCTCCGGCTTCTTCATGCCCTCCACTCAGATACTCCATGAAACTTCACCCTCTTTAGATACCTGCTGGAGTCTGTGCTGCAGATGTTAAACTTCTACAGCTTTTAATTCTCTGTCACATCCATCCAAATTTATTTTTGTCTTTTGCCTTAGAAATAAACATGCCTTTCACCTGTGTGTTTGGTAAATACCTTACTATTTATTCATGTATTGGTTTCATTCTGAAGTCTTTATTTCTCATCTATTTTCATGTTCCTGAGACTTAAATACAGTCATTACTCGAACAGGGTGCAGGTCTGGGTAATTATTTTGCACAGTGCTCTGTACATGTTAACGATTGATAAGAGTACTTAAAAGGACTTATGGATGCTAAGTACATTTTTTCTTCTTCAAATGCTTCCGTGTAATGCTTCTTGAAAAGTTAGAATTGTCTTCTTTTTTAATTGAGTAGCTTCCTTGACAGTTCATCTTAATCTTTTTGGCTCTGTCTTTTAGCTTTTTAGGCTCAATTGCATGGATAAATGTTGAATAATGAATTTCAAGAGCACCAAAAATATATTCGTCTTTAAGATTATCCTTGAAAGTTATTTTGTAAGGAGGTTCCAGTTTCCTGGTTATTGAATTATATCCCTGATGAGGTTATAGGTTAAAGGCAACTAATAAGAATTACCTTAGTAAACCACAAAGATTGAATCGAAAGGAAATATGAATTCTAATAGCACTCTCTAGGAGTCTCTCTGGGCACCATGTCGTTTTAGATAATAAAGCCTAAAAATACATAAATTGTAGTTGACTTTAAGTTAAAAAAGTTGAAGTTTAATTCCTTTGAATCTTAAAGATAAGGAACTGATAGTAGATTTAGTTGTGTACAATACTAGGAAGTAATCTCTTTTATTCTTAAACTGTCCTTGGCTATTCACATTAAGATTCAGCAAAAATGAAACAAAAAAAAACTTTCTGAATTTTAAAAACTATTGATTTTTAATCTAACTTTTCTTTTGACTAGAATATTTCCCTTACTCCTCTCTAGCAAAGGTAGATAAATGTATGTATGTATGGCTTGTCATTCATGAAAAAATCTCATTGGTTTTGGTTGTTAGAGGAATCTTACTCTTTTATCACTTTTGAAATCTCAAGTAAAAAAAAAAGTTGCTGCTCTTTCCTAGCTGTGTGTGGCTATTTTAAATTTTTATTAATAACTATTTTTATTCAGTCACTTAATAAAACAGTAGGGCATTTATATCTCTGGTATCTTAGATATACATAGATGTCTGGATTTCTTAATTTTTGAAAAACTGATTTGGAGTAAATTTTTCTGTTTAAAGCCCTTCTCTGATCTGGGGTTGTGTAGCTGATGTTTGATTCTTGAAGGCTCTGCCACCAGGGCACAAGATTGTAGATATTTTTAACTAGAAAGTATCAGATACAAGGCAGGCAGTGGACTGTGTGTCTCTTTTCCATTGGCTATGTCAGCTGAGTTCAGAAAGACTTTTAACTAGAAGGTTGGCAACCAAATAACAAGTATTTTTGGCCATAGAAATTTATGAAAGTGTTCACTAAGGCTGAGAGCAGTGGTTGCAACCTGCATTAGGAGTTCCCACACAGATGAAATTAAATTATGAAAATAATTACATTGAAATATTATCTGCAGGTTTGCTTATTTACACAAAAGGAAATGCTGTATTTCCAATTGTCCTTTTTCATTGTGTTTCATTCTATTTTTTTCTTTCCAGTTATTCCATATATTTAATATCTGTATAGTATTTTATACTTAAATAACCTTTTGTTTATACTTGATTTTTCCTGATAACAAAACTCCTAAGATAGTTCAGTATAATTATTCACGTTTTACAGATGAGAAAATTGAGACACACAGAGAAAAGTTGAAAAATTTTCCCAGGATCACCCAAACAAGGTCAGAATCAAAATCCATTACCTAAGTTCCCACTTCAGTGCCCTAATCCATGTAACTGAAATAGTGAGAAGATTAGGAGTCAGTAGGACTAGATATTCCAAAGTCAGGTGTACAACTAACTTGTTTTGTGACTATCCAAGTCACTTTCCCTCTTTGCGCCTCAGTTTCCTTATCTGTAAATGCGGGGGTTTGATTATATTATTGATATATACTGAGGTTTGATATCTGAGGTCTCTTCTACTTCTACCACTATATGATGTCGTTATAGTTATGCTCTTCAAAGGCGGGTGGTCATTTACCACACTTTTTGGCTTGTCCCTTTTAAGTGTCTGGGGTTCAGGGCTGATGCTAGGAAAGTTTAAACCACATCTGTTTCATGCTGAAACCCTTCAGTCTTGTTTCCCCTCGTTTGTGGTCTTCGAACAAAGGGTGATGACCACTTGTCAGATGGCAGATTCCTTTTCAAATAAGCAGTTGGACAAGATAGCCTTTGAGATCCCTTTTTTGAGTGAGTGGAGAATGAGGTGAACTAAAGAGATCTTGCTGAATGTGGTGCTAAAATATAGGTTAATGGCTAATATGTTTTCTAATTTTGCCAGGAATTAAAGTGAAGATTTTTGGTCTATGTTTTGTGGTCTCTGTTCCCTTTCCTTTTTTAGAAATGGTGATATTTGTACTTTCTCAATGCTTCTGTACCTCTGTCATTCTCCAGAGTCTTTCAAAGAACACTGACAGTTAATTAACTAATATTGATTAAATTCCTGCTATGTGCTAGACACTGTGCTTAGCAGAACAAACAAACCCGTCCCTGCTCTCAAGGAGTTCAGTCTAAATCTATGACTATTTATTTCCCTCTTCATAACACTCCTCTCTTGGTGGTTCTTCTCCTTGTCTGTATCCCTCACCAGGAGCATCATTCGTGATCCTTCCCCTCTGTAGAGGTATACCCTAGGACTCTGTCCTGGATGACTCTCTGCAGATCTTTATGCCCAGCTCTCATCTCTCTCCTGACTCGTTTTAGACTACCTACTGCTTGTCTGGACATCTCTACTTGCATGTCCCATAGGCAACTCAAATTCATCCTATCGAAAATGGAACTTACAATCTTTTCCCCTAAAACCCACGATTCTTCCAACTTGCCTGTTTTTTTCAGGAGCACTATCAGTCTTCCAGTCATCATGTTTGCAAGTTTGAAGTCATCTTTGACTTTTCTCTTTCCCTCTCCCTTCACCCCAATTTCCAGGTCTTCTCACTTCTACCTCTACAACATGTCTTTCCTCTTCTTATTGCTCTTATGGCTTCCATCTTCATTAAAAGCCTTAATTACATCTTAGCTATTGAGTATCTCCTAATTTTTCTTTCCAAAAATATCATATAGATACTTGTGTCTCTTCATGGAATAGTCATAAAATAGTAAAAACAACACTCCAATAACTGGTAAAGGATCCAATGTTTGTTTTTAGCACCCCTTTATAATACAGTATTTGAATGCTGTTTATAACTAAGCATAAATCAAATGTTTCCAGTAGTACAACAATAAATCATCCATCATTATATATGAAATATGTAATAAATTTCAGGGGACTTAAGAAAAATATATTTAATTCAGGTACTGTAAAACAATTCAAGCAATAAGTATCCATTGAATTTTCCCTAATTTCACAGAGATGGAGGATATTATTTTGGTCTGAGTGTGATCTTGTTTGTCTTAGTAGTCATAGGGCTCTATTTTTATTTCTACATCAAGTTGGACCTGTTAAAACTCGAAACAATTATAACTTGGATGATTCTTAGATTGTTGTCATGTTAATTTTATGTGTCCGTGTATTACATTTGTTCTTCCTTGCCTGATAAAATCTTCCTGATTGTATTTGCTTAATTGTAGTCTTTGCATTTCATCCTCTCTTACCATTTTGTTTTGTTTTTAGACAGAATTAGAGAAAATGGGGGAATGAATGGTAACTGTATCAACAGGACTTTTTTGTTTTTAGGTTAGTTTATCCTATACGTATGAAACAAAAGATGCCCTATGCTTGGTGCTGACGATCATGAATGGAGGAGATTTGAAGTTCCACATATACAATATGGGAAACCCTGGCTTGGATGAAGAGAGGGCTATTTTCTATGCTGCAGAGCTGTGCTGTGGCTTGGAAGATTTACAAAGGGAAAGAATTGTTTACAGGTAAGAGTTAATGGCAGCCATGTCCTCTACAAAGGTCCCTTCTCATTCAGCATGGGAGCTCTAGATGGAGGAAACCAGCTGTTCAGGAGGCCCATCCTATGCTTTTAGAAAAGCTTTGTCATATTAGGGAGATCTCTTATGCTATTAAAATCTAGTTTATAAAAATAAACACATTTCTTTTTAGTTTTCATTGAGGTTCATTTGTATAATATACCTGTCTGTATGATCTCTACTGAATGTAGTAGTAAAAGTGAACTTAAAGTTTTTAGGTTAGAAATTGACATTAATTTGTGTTTGAACACATATGAAAAGAGAACATCTTTCTAATCTTATAGATAATTCATTTAATTCTGTTATATAAATTAGCATGGACTCAACAGAAAAAATACCCAAGGAAAATCTAAAAAGCAACAGTTTGTGATATGATGTGTTTTTTTTCACCTGAACATAATTTTTAAAAGATTAGAAATGAACTTTATTTAGTAATATTAGCTTCAAGTATTTAAATTAATTAAAATGTTCATAAAGTATAATTGCTAGTAAAATAATAAAATTATTAAAAGAAATATGCTATTTTAACTCACTGTTAAGCATTTTAGAAACACTTTTTAAAATTAAAAAACACTTAAGTAACTAATAACAAATTCTTTAGTGAGACAAGCACATTTATTTAGTTATTTGCCCATTCATTTATTTATTTATTTATCTGTTTATTTATTTGGTGAGGCAGTTGGGGTAAAGTGACTTGCCCAGGGTCACACAGCTAGGAAATAAGTATTCTTAAGACTTTTGTATACTGTTAATAGTTTACCATATATACAAAACATTCTAATTAAAGCCTTTTACCAATTTAAATTTTCTTTCCCCAATTTAATTTAAATTAGTCAGTTTTCTATAATCCCAGCCTCCTTTCCTATCAAATGTTTTCCCAATGCAACTGCCAAGGAACAAAATTGATTTCCTTTACCTCCTCCCACTTTTTGGGGGCACTTTTTTTGGGTAGAAAACCAAAACAATAAGGGCCTACTTTGTGCACTCATGAAATGCAGTCTTTACCTTCTGGGAGCTTGACAGCCTTGGGTCATGGCTGTTTGGAGGGAGAAGACAGGCATACAGATAACTTGCTGTGAGAAAGAGCACTGGGTTTGAAATCAGAGGACCTGTGTTCATATCCCAGCTCTGTCACTTACTACCTTTCTGGGCTTCAGCTTCCTCATCTATAAAATACGAGTGTTGAACAAAATGGTGTCAGAGGTTCCTTCCAACTTCAAATCTGTGATCCTACAATCCTTTGTGTTTTTGTGAACTTTAATATTTGATATTTCAAGGAACAGTCATTTTATCAGTAGATACTCTCAGTACTGATGAATATTATAACTATGCTGTCATTTAAAAATTGATCTCTGAGAATTGCTATGGACAAAATATTCATTAGCCTATAGCTCATATGGTGACCAGCTACTGTATTACAATTTGGAACATAATTAAATGCACGGTTGGTTGTTGTGCTTCATTCTCGAAGAGGACCAAAAATAACATCACTATCTTAGAGTCAAGCTATAGCGCATCCAGCTGTGGCTGATTAGACCGATACGAGCTCAGAATGCTCTACCACAGGTCGGACACAAATAGTCTGTGTGAACATTTGAGGTAGATTCCCTAAATTTGTGCATCTCAGATTTCTTTTGAGCTACTTCAGTTCTGCTTTGTTCTTAGAGCACAGCACCTTTCTGATGAGGACACACCATTCTGGGAGGTCCTGTGCCAATGTCTCAATTCCAGTTCCAAAATTCCTAGGAGAGACCTTGAAAGTGTCTTTGTATCGCTTCTTCTGACTACCACGTGAGCTCTTGCCCTGTGTGACTTCTCCATTTGACATTCGAACAACATAGCCAATCCATTGTAGTTACTCTCTGCAGCAGACTTTGAATGCTTGGCAGTTTAGTTCAAGAAGGGACCCCAGGGTCTGGTATCTTATCCTGCTAGGTGACCTTCAGAATCTTCCTAAGATAATTCAAGTGGAAGCGATTCCTGTTTCCTGGCATGGTGTTGGCATACTGTAATCCAGGTTTCACAAGCATACAAAACGAGGTCAGCACAGCAGCTCTGTAGACCTTCAGTTTGGTAGTCAGTCTAATACCTCTTCTCTCCCGCACTTTCCTTCGGAGGCTCCCAAACACTGAGTTAGCTCTGGCAATGCATGCGTCAACCTCATTATCAATGTGTACGTCCCTGGAAAGTATACTACCGAGGTAAGTGAACTTATCCACAGCATTCAAAACTTCTCCATTTGCTGTAACCAATGGTTCCACATATGGATGGTATGGTGCTGACTGATGGAGCCACCTGTGTTTTCTTGGTATTAATTGTTAGGCCAAAATTAGCACAAGCAACAGAGAATTGATCCATCCTTTGTTATATCTCAGCTTCAGAGGCTGCATTGAGTGTACAATCATTTGCAAACAAAAAAATCATGCACCAACACTCCTTCCACCTTGGTCTTGGCTTGTAGCCTTTTCAAGTTGAAGAACTTACCTTCAGTGCAGTAGCTGACTTTGATCTCCTGTTTGTCCTCATTGAAGGCATTTAATAACATGGCTAAAAACATCATGCTAAAAAGCATGGGAACAAGTATATCTTGTTTCGCTCCATTGGTGACTAGGAAAGCATGAGAGCATCGTCCATTAACCAGAACCATGGCAAGTATGCTATCATGAGACTGATGTACATACTGATTAACTTCTCTGGGCAACCAAATTTTGACATAATTTTTCATAAGCCCTCGCAACTGATAGCATCAAAGGCCTTGGTCAGATCGACAAACATTCTGTACGGACCTCTGTTCTGCTATTGGCATTTCTTCTGGAGTTGTTGGGCAGCAAACACCATATCGATTGTTCCTCAGCCCTTTCTGAAGCCACACTGGCTCCCAGATAGATGACCATCTTTCAGGTGAAGGATCAGCCTATTAAGGAGGACTGGAAAGAATTTTGCCAGCAGTGACTAACAGTGAGATTCCCTTGTGATTGTTAAGGCACAATCTATTTCTTTTACCTTTATAAAGGTGGACAGTGGAGGTGTCCTTGAACTCTTGGGGGATAACCTCCTCTTGCCAGGTAACCTAGAAAATTTCAGTCAGCTTTTGTATGAGCAGTGGACCGCTCCCCCCCCCCCGATTCAGGCTGTTCAGACACCCAAGGGGCTGCCAAATCCCACTGCTGCTTCCAGGGGGAAGATGACCCTGTAGTCTGGGCCACCTGTGTTGAGGATTGTGACTACGGCTCCCAGGGTATCTGCACCTGCTGCTTCGTCACTTGCCTGTAATCACAGGACTTTTGAGATAGATAAAGATGGCAAAATAGTGTGGATGATGTCTTTTGATTTGTACATAAATTGGATTTAAGAGAGGCAGAGTTGCACAGAATTGTTGGCCTCACTGTTGTCCAGAGTCATCACAGTTCATTGGCAGGACAGAGTCAAGACTACTGGTGATGGCCCAAGATGCAGTGGATGACCTTGGCGTCTTTGTTGTTTAACCAGGCTTCAAACATAGTGCCTACTTCAGCTGTCTTCATAGCCATTGGAACAAATTGTTCTTGTCAGCCTATTCCACCAGGGCAAGACTTCACTTGCTTGGGGTAGACACCCCCCCCAACTCACTGATGGATTTGAGGCATATTGATTAACCTCAACCAGTTTAGCCCATCTGCCTAAATGGTTTGCTGAGATATGGCCCCCTGTGCATGCTACAGCTTCTTGGAGCCACAGGTGAGAGTTAAGTGGATCAGGTGGACACCAAAGGTAGAAAGCAGCCCTTGCACCAGAGATACTAGTCTCCCCCGGACACACCCTGAACCCAAAATACTTTTATGAGATTCTTAGAAGAAGGAACTGCTTCTAGTTGGGGAAGCTTAATGGAGGAGAGGTATTACTTGAACTGGGCTTTGAAGCTAGGGTTAGGATATGTGGAGTGTGTACAGATGATTGTATTGAGATAAAAGAGAGCATGAAGAGGTCAGAGAATTGTGAATCATCAGATTTGGAGCATAGAATACATGAAGGAAGTAATGTGAAATAGGTCTAGAAGGGTAGGCTAGAACCAGGCCGTGTGGGGCCTTGAATGTTTGGCTGTCAAGTGTGTGTTTTACTTGATGTACCAATGAGGAAACCATTCATCAAAGCAAGAGAATGACTTAATCACATCTGTATATTAAGAATATTAGTTTAACTGCAGTATAAAGGATGGATTGACATTGAGTATGTAGGACATGAAACCAGTTAGGAAGCTGTTAACAATAATCAAAAACTGAGGTGATAAGAATCTGAAGTAGGATGTTTACAATGGAAGGGGAGAAAAATGATAGCTGTGATAGTACCACATTTGACAGCTGACTAAGAAAAGGTAAGGTCAAAAATAATCATCAAGTTTCAAGAGTGTATCACTAGGAAAGCATGGTGATGCTATCAAGAGAAATAAGTAAGTTAGGCAGTAAGTTGAATTTTGAATGGGAAATGATGGATTCAACTTAGGGTGTTGTTTTTGGAGTACTAGGAACATTTATTTGGAGATTTTAAATAGGCAATGAGAAATACTTAATGTTCAGAGAGAGAGGTTGGGGCTGGTGATGAAGATTTGGGAGTTATCTGCGTAGAGGTCAATCAGCAAGAAACTATTAAGCACCTACTATATGCCAGCCATTCTGCTAAGCACTAGAAATACCAAAAAAAAAAAAGGGCAAAAATAGTGACTATTTTCACAGAGCTCAAAAATCTAATGAGAGACAGTCTTTGAAGATTTACAAATGATAAAATGTCACCTAGGAAGGAAAAAATACCCAGAGGAGAGGAAGCAGAGTGGTAACCCTCAAACTTGGGGATTAGAAGAACAAGGGAAGGAAACCAAGAAAAACTAAATAGGGATGGAGGAGAATTGATAAGAATGGTCATTCCATGGTCAGCAAGCATTTATTAAGCACCTTCTATATGCCAAGCACTGTACT